TAAACCTTTTTCCCATGTAATGGTTGACGGGTAGCTTCTAAGCAAACTAACTTTGGTGATTTCCATTCTTTGCTCACACAGAAACATACTTAAACATTTTGCACTGACAGATGTTGCTTTGCTACCAAAACCACCTCACATCAGGAAGAACATTTAAAATAGCATTTATCCCACTAAGAAATATGAGTAACAGAGATTTCAAAGGCTCAGTATACTTTGTACCTAAAGCAAATCCACGCAAGTGAGTGCAGAGTTAGAGTTTATGACCACAGACAAATCCATAAATGGTCAACTTTTCTGAAAACTAGTGTAGTGTGTTACACCTAGTGATGCAGGATGTAATATGTCAAGTTGTGATTAAAACACGATGTGGCTACCCATACTTAATCAACTAAAGGTATCTTCTCAAATACGACAGTGAGTACTTTGGGAAGTCAGGTTATCTACTTCGACAGTTCTATGATAACCATCAAGCAAAGACACACAAAGAAACTGCCTTTGTGCTAAAGAAGAGAAAATTGACAAACAGAAATGAAAAATCCAAAATGCATTCAAAACACAATTCAGGCAGAAGATGAGCAATTCAGGGCAGAATACTCCACAACTAAGTAGTCATAAAGCTACCATGTTCCCTGACAAAGAACAGCCGACAGCTTTACTGAGTTAGTGACCATAACAATCTACCACTTCTAACAGTCAAAAATTTGTGGGATTAAGGGGTAACTTTTTCTCATACTTATGATCTTCTTTGAGAGGCTGGACTCAGAGAGGAACCATCAGTCTGAGCAAAGCCAGCTCAGAAAGCAGCCCTTTGCCCACATATAGGAGGAGGATCTTGGCTTGACTGATCATAAACATGGGTTTGATGCTAAGGGCAGCAAGCCAGTCAAATCGAAAGAGTCATTCGCTCAAAATGTGCTTACATAATGCTCATCAAAGCAGTCATGAACCTAGCTGCAAGCTCAGTGAAAACAAGTTTCAAAAGTATATACTTTACAAGAGAAAGGTAATAGGTCTGGAAGATTTTAAGCCATGGCTTAACAGCAGGTTATGGTGGTAGTGCTAGTTCTAAGAATAAAGTCTCCTGATGTCCTCCTTCTTTAGAAGCTCAGCAGAAGGCTTAGAGATGATATGCTGTGCCGGTAACTCAAAAAGTCTGCCAAAGAACACAAGACCTTGGGAGATAAAAACACAGATGCCACAGCTAAGGGTGTACTGCAAACTGGTGGAAAACTGAAATACTCCATAAACCTATGGGATGTTGGTAAGCAAGTTTGGAAGCTCCCATAAAATTGGATTCCTTCTTCCTTTTTGATTTTCCCACCTTTTTAATTTCTACCGAACTCTGAAGATTGAATCCTTTTTCTTGTTACATTACTTTTTGAGTTCCTCTGAAAAATCTATTCTTTACTCACTCTGCACCCTGCTAAACAAATTTGTACACAAAGCAAAAGCAATGAACCTCCAGGAAACTGCACTAACCAAGGAACCACGTGATGTTCAGCCTTCTGCAAAGCCTATTTACTCCCTGATGCATGATTTGTTCAAAAGAATACACCCTACTGCAGATGCTGAAAATTCCTACCAAGCAACTGATTTTTTTAAATTCCTGATTTGCACAAAGATTATACCACTTGAAGCTCTCATCTGACTTCATCAGAATGAAACCCTACTTGCAAGGAATAGTACAGCAAGAAATAAAAGCAGTTTGGTAAGAACTTCCAGTGCTCTGAATTTAGTGATGCTATAACTGTAGGAGTTAAGTGGCACACTGACACCATTAAAAAAATGTAAAAAAAAAAAACAAAAGTGCTTTTGGTTTTTCCAGCTAATCTGGCCAGGGACATTGCTGTCATGTCTGTTCAAATCAAGATCCACATCCTAAAGACTGTTTTCTTTGTAAATCTTTTGCTATCTATTTAGAGAAGAACAGGCTCACTCCTCTCTGTCTTGTTTCTTAATCTGATTATGCTCTTCTCCTCATATGTATACCATCTGGTGCACACGCAAGCAAAATTTACTGGGCTTAGATGTAAAATCAGGTGACAAAAGAAGCTTGTAGGACACATTGTGCAGAAAATCCTTGAAATTAAATCCAACACAAAAAAACAGCAATAAAAATGCATTAAGTCATTATAACTGAAGTGGTTCTGATTATATTAACAACTACAGAAGCTTAAACAGAAGATTTTCAGTAACATTTCTACAAAACAGAAACAGTTCTAAAAACTGATACTTTTCCCAATTTCAATTAACACTGAGGGAGTGAGAACTCCCTGTTCATCATGGTCACTTAATATTTTTGATTCCAGAAACTTCCAAGAAGTTTTTGCTACAGTCTTCCATCAGTCAGAAATCTGCAGCAAATATAACAAAAGGCTCATGGGTTGAGATAAGGACATGGAGGGATCACACACCAATCACGGGCAACACAGACTCAACTTGAAGAAAAATTTATTTATTACCAATCAAATCAGAGTAGGTTAACAAGAAAATAAACCATATCTTAAAACACCTTCCCCCTGGCCTTAACTTTACTTTCAATTTCTCTAGCTCCTCTCCCTCAGCAGCACAGGGGTATGGGGAATGGGGGCTGCAGTTCATCTCATGTTGTCTCTGCCACTCCTTCCTCCTCACTGGGAGGACTCCTCATGTTCTTCCCCTCACAGTGTGGGGTTCCTCCCACAGAAGACAGTTCTCCAAGAATTTCTCCAACGTGAGTCCTTCTCAAGGGCTGCAGTTCTTCATGAACTGCTCCAGCGTGGGTCCTCCATGGGGTCACAAGTCCTGCCAGCAAACCTGCTCCAGTATGGGCTCCTCTCTCCACAGCTCCACAGGTCCTGCCAGGAGCCTGCTCCAGCACAGGCCTCCCATGAGGTTACAGCCTACTTTGGGCATCCACCTACTCCATTGTGGGTTCTCCATGGGCTGCAGGTGGGTATCTGCTCCACCATTAACCTCCATGGGCTGCATAGGGACAGCCTGCCTCACCACAGTCTTTACCATGGGGTGCAGAGGAATCTCTGCTCTGATGCCTGGAGCACCTTCTATCCCTCCCTCTTCACTGACCTTGGGTTTTGCACATATTCTCACTCCTCTCTTTGGCTCCAGTTGTTTGCAGAGGAAACTACTCTCACATATTCTCACTCCTCTCTTTGGCTCCAGTTTCTGTGCCCAGTTGGTTTTTTCCGTTTCTTAAATATGTTATCACAGAGGTGCTACCACCATTGCTGATTGACTCAGCTTTGGCCAGCAGTGGGTCCAACTTGGACCCAGCTGGCACTGGCTGTTGGACACAGGGGAAGCTTCTAGGAGCTTCTCACAGAAGCCACCCCTGTAGCCTCCCCAGCTACCAAAACCTTGCCACACAAACCTAATACACCACTTAGCATTTCACTTTTGTAGAGTTTTCTTCTGGCTTTGTTGCCAAAGCCATTAAATACTCTGCAGGACTGCACGTGTGCTGTCCCAGCATCTTTTTCCAGCATTTCTTAAAGCATAAGCAGCAAGACATAAACAAAACTGATCTTCTGTTCCCACAACCCCTTTTGTTGTACAGGATAATGCACTGCACTGTGAACAAGGAAAGCATACATTCCAGATAGACTACTTATACCAGAAAGCATTAATTTTGACACCTTGAAAACACTTGTTGTTATGCAGTGGTTTTTGTACTCCACTAAGAGGATACACAGGCTTGGAATAGTGCTCAGATCTTTAATAGTGCCAACCCAAATCCCTTCCACATAATCGCACTGCCTCTCAGAAAGACTGACACATCTCGAGCACTGCCTCTGTCTTGCTCTCACTTACCATATTTTACCTTGGAGCACAATCATTAAACATCTACGCTGCAAGGCTAGAAGTTCAATGTCAGCCTGACAATGCACGATGTGAGTATTGTTACAGCTGTATATAATTAGTTTTCACCTTCTTCTATAGCAGAAAAAGGTTAGAGAACTGCATACAATGAGACAACATAAAAGAAGTACGTTTGCACTGCAAACTCAAGTTCTTAAAAGTTAGGAGATGAGAGAACTAAGATTTCCCATGACACCTTTGTTACATTCATAAGGGCATAGTTTTCAGCCACTGATTCTTCTAAGACTCTTGCTTCATATAGTGCAACGAACAAAACATGCTCTGTGAGTAAAGGCACACGTTCACTATTTCTTTTCATTATTCATCATTCAAAGACACTCAGTTACATTAGCTATAAGAGTATTTTGCTCTGTCAGCAGACTTCTACTTAGTTTTCTACAGGTTTCACTCCTAGAAAGAAAGAATTAGGCCAGTCCTACAGAAACAGGTTATTATATCTCATGCAATTTCAATGCCTTTCTTGAGTCATGTCAGTCCTGTACAGTAAATGAGAGATATCCATTTGAGTGACCCATTCTTTAAGAGTAGATCATACTTACAGAAACAAAGGACAAAATGGAAACAAAAAATAATAAGCAAATTTTTGTGTGGCACTGAATCTTTAAGACATGCTCTTAGTTGTGTGTTTATCTTGTTGACTCTGGAAGTACAACTACAAGTATGTTACAGCCAACAGTGCCCATTTTCCTACTTACAGCAAAAGCTGTGAAGGACTCCAAAAAACTCACATTATTTTCTCTTACTTCATTGAAAACTGAAGCAGAGTTATTTTCCCAGATAGCAAAAAAAGGTCATTAAAAGCCAAATCCTGCTTGCCTTTCTCATGCAAATTATCTAATTTGTACTGGGTGTTATTTGCATAAGAAAGGGGGCAAATCTACTTCTCTAAAGAAAATATTTTATTACCGTTCTTCTAAAAGAGTAAACAAACAAAAAGGAAAAGATGAAAATAATATCCAAACAATAAGCAGAATGTTAACATGTGCCTGAACGCTTGAACTTTGTTTTTCAGAAGTGCTTTATCAGATATCATAACAAATAAATAAAACTAGAACAGTTCAGCTCTACTGAAATAAAACAAATAGGTACTTGTATGCCTGTAATACACTAAAATTTATGTAGAAACACTGTTTCCTGCATCTTGTTTTATCCAACTAGACTATTCTACAAAAGTTATTTACATACTAGTCTTGTCAGTTATTTTTTAATGTCATTACCTTTCTTTTATGATGGGTTGTTGAAGCATCCATCTCTTCTTCTCCTATATTGTCTATCTGTGAAGTTGGACTACAGTTCATCCTCTCCTCTTCTTGCCTCTGAAGTCTGTCTGCCACAGCCTGGATTGCTTCTGTCCATTCCTCCCTATCATGAACAAGCCAATATCCCTATTAGAAACTCATGAAATACATCCAAATAAATGGTTTATAACATTCATCACATGCTACATTGCTTCAGTGTACAATTCTCATGTTGCACAGCAGAAAACTCACAAATTAATCACTTCCAAAACCCAACTTGTTGGCTAATTTCAAATTCCCCTGAGAAAGAGGCCCTCAAAGATCATTAAATTCGGCATAAAAACCAGTAGCTGCACAGAGGGGACAATATGAATAACACCAAATTATAGTTTTAGTCTCAATAGGACAGGTGCTCACAGCAGGAAGACTCAGTGCATTTAACCAGAGACACAGTCTAGAACAGTCTAGTGAGCTACACTATCCCATAGCTCCCTACATACTTTTGCTGCATTAAAAACGTTAACTCTTAAAGAGTTTGCATATATTTACTGAAACAAGAAAAACTTATAAGCAAACATAAAATAAGTAATAGCAAACACACTGCTTTCTGTGCCAAAAAAGGAGCATATTAGGAGGAGTGAAAGGAAAATTTAAGACAGCAAGGCTGGAAAATACCTCAATGCAGGCTTCTATTGCTCAAAATTTAACACCTGAGACAATATCATGACATAGTTTTGGGTTACTTGAACATTCATCCCATCTGCTCAGAGGTACCTCTTACACTAGCTATGAGCTCAGATAATGTTTTACAGAAGCTGACTTATAAATTCTTCAGATAACTGTTCAGATGAGCTCCGAATGTCACAGCTCCAAGCTGATCGCTCTGCAGTCCCAGCACAGACCATGCTGAGGCTTCTGTGTAAAGAAGACAGAAAGCACAACAAAACTTAAACCCTCACCGTTCCTCTGGCGTGTCTACATGGAATGTCCTCTCTATGACAGTGGTCCACTGAAGACATCTGATAATGAATGTGTTTGGCTTTGGTCGCTCTGTTTTCATCAGCTGACATTCTAGAGAAATACATGACATTGCCTCTTTTATACACTGCCAGTTAATGGGCAAAGAGCAAAGAGAATTACTCAGATAAAACACATATAGCTTATGTATACCTATTCAGCACACATAAGGAAATACAGCATGGCAATATAACCACTGACTTGAACAAAAGGTAGCAGGTAGTGATGGCAAGGTGAAGAAAGCAGTCAGGGGAACTGATGGAAATTGTATGGTTGCCCAAAGAAGGAGCGCGATCTCCGTTCACAAAGTAGGTCTGTACAATGAGGGTAAGAAGAGTATGAGATCCCATGCTGGTATGCCAAGGTAACAGCAGTAGCCACAGGCACATTTTTCCATCTGTACCTGGCAGGAGGAATACGACATTTTCCCTTCGATGGTAACCATGCCACAATTACTGTCACTTCAGGATTTGATTTATTTTAAATACTTTATCTGAGAAAATTCAGATGTTGAAACTAGTCTGATTATTAAATACAGAATAACCCCTCACATACCCTCAGTGGGGCTGTCCCAGGAAATAATCTCATTCTCTTTGTACCCCAGGGCAGGATTGGGTCTATGGTATTTTTTGTAACTATATCCCTAAATTCTTCCTGCAATCCTCAAAAAGTGGTAATTTCAAAACCTCTGTAAGCAAACTATTTCATCCAACTATAAGGAAATTAATTATTTCTATAGTCGGAAGATTCTTCCTAGCATTTAATGCATCTGTTCCTATAATTTAAGCATATTGTTTCTTGCCCTATTGACTCATTTATCTTTTCAGTAGCTCTCCCTTTTAGACATCTGAACATCATTTTAGCTCTCTTCAGTCTTCTCTGGCCTAAATCAGTTCAACCAATCTGTTCTCACAGGTTGTGCTTTCAGATCCAAGATCTCCCTCATCCCACAACTCCAGACATCCAGCACACTGCTGACGACTCCTCTGTCACAAGACCACACCACTGGTAGTTCAGGTGTGTACCAGATTTTTACGATGTAGCAAACTGCACTCAACTTCACACCCCCAAAACACTGACCTATTTGAATTCTTTATTCATGCAAATATATTCAAATATTTTTTTGTGAAGTTAGGGTTACTATGTCAAAAGTGTAATTTGTTTTCCTGCAGCTGCCACAAAATAGACAGAAACAACACATCTCATGTTCTCGGATGATATCACTTGTTCAAAGCTGATCCAGATCAAATGTGTGATCTAAAATGATTTATCAGGTTCACAAATCAATCACTAACGAATATGGCAACAGAATACCTGTTCCGCTGTAACTTCCTTTTGGTAGAGCTACCACCTACCAGTTGACGCACAGCTTTTACTGATGTAATTTACTATTCTTTAGCATAAAACCTTGCACTTATTTTTGGCAAATTACTTTTTTTAAAAAACAAGTTAATGTCAACGCTTTACAAAAGTCATGTCATATTACAGGTACCACTTCACAAAGCATGCTTTTCTGTCACAAATATAAATTATATTGGCTTGACATATTTTTTCTTCACAAATTCAGGGTCCTGAAACCTCAACTATCATCCACAATTCTACAGGAATGCGTTTTAAATATTCTCCAATGAACTGCATTAGAGCCAGCATATTTCTAAACACCCAACATATGTAAGTACTCTCAACCCTGCTTTTACTTTCTCTCTTATGCCTTCGTTGCCTGTGTTAATTGTACAAGATGCATACTCATAGCTGACCTTCTTGAAATGTACTTGCATACTGAAAATGCATTAAAGCCATTTTCTTTAATATTACTAGCTCATAACGAGCTTAAAGCTCGTTAAAGTTCAAGGCATTGATTTGTAAGTCTGAACACCTAAACAAGATGGGACACGGTTATCTAAGAAATGGCCTCTGTCTCCAGCAAATATCAGCAGGCTTCCTTGTACTGCGCTATTCTTCGTACAGGGAGGAAAGAACTGATATTGGGGGGGCACTTTGCGAGGACACCTTGATTGAAGAGCTTTCATGCATAGTGCCATTTTTTAATTGGAAAAAGCAAAGAAGAGTGGAAGTGGATCTGTCTGTTGATGGGATTTTTTCTACAGCTTAGCAGAACATCTCAGAAACTTGACAGACACGTGTATAAAAACCAAAAGAGGACTAAAGTAAATACTGCACTACACAGGTGTGCATTCCTTGATGCACAAACCTATATATTCACCATACATCTATAAATTATTATGGAAGTCAGACTGCTCACTGGTCAAGGAGATGACATTACATGTGATAATGTCAAATTACATTACTATTCACCCTCTACAACTCCTTGAAAGGAAGGTGTAGTGAGGTTAGGGGTGGTCTCCTCTCCCAAGTAATAAGTGATAGGACAAGAGGAAATGTCCTCAAGTTGCGCCAGGGCAGAGTTAGGTTGGATATTAGGAAACATTTCTTCACTGAAAGAGTGGTCAAGCATTGTAACAGGCTGCCCACAGAAGTGGTGGAGTCACCATCCCTGGAGGGGTTCAAAAATCATGTAGATTTGGCACTTTGAAACACGGTTTAGTGGGCATGGTGGTGTTGGGTTGATGGTTGGACTTGATGATCTTAGAGGTCTTTTCCAATCTTCATGATTCTGTGATTCTAAGCAGAGCTGCTTAGGATACTTAACCAGGCTTGGAGCTGGGTACAAATATTCCTCATGAAATCAAGGAAACCACCATCTTCAGGGATATGGTTGAAGTCCAAGTTATGATCGTGATGACAGAGGGCCTAGGGTTAACAGGCTGTTTCCTTAACTTCCTCAGCTGTAACTCTAAGGAATGTGTCGGACTACCTTCATAACAGAAGAGACAAGAAGCATTGTCTGCTCTAAGATTACCTCATCTCACTCCTGACAAAACCATCCTCTCATCTCTAATCCTATCACACTTCAATCATGTAGGCTGAAATTTTCTTTGCTGGGTGTCTGCCTAAAGCTGCACGCTGCTGGAATATACTACTTTTTGGAGACAAGACTTCAAACTTGGCAAACCAAGACCTTTGATATCCTTTTAGTATTCCTGTGAAAATGTAAGGCATCTGGCCACACTACATGTAGGAGGGATAAAAGTGCAGTGGGAGGAGGGTAAAAAGTTGCAATAACAATTACTGAAGCATGAAATCATTGAAAATCTATGCATCGAGTATAATCCAGAGGCTACAGCTATCTCCTGCCTCTGCTCCTGCTAAACAGCAAGCTCTTTCTCCTATAGTCATAAGGCCTCATCCTATTCCTCAGACAATATGAAAAAGAAACTACCACGTTGAGGAAAAATGCAACACGGAAAGATGACATACAGCAAGTTATTTACAGAAGAGATGTTGGGAACAAAAGACTAGGGAATAAAGGGAGAGGAGTGGAGGTGGGAAAGTAAAAAGACCAAAACCTGTGTCACAAAGGAAAACTTGGAGGATAGCTACAGTATAGCTCCAGTGCCTGTAATGGAGCCAAAGATTTTGAATTTCACCTTTCATTTTCTAGTCGCCAATATATACAAAAATGCATACATTAAAATGCCATTAAGTTTGCCAACTCAAGTATGCAAAAATCAGAACTAATAGAATTAAGCCTGCCTCCATATGCTATCTATAATATTGTCTTTACATATATAGAGTATACTATATATAATAAATATAGTTATATTTATATATATTAGTATGT